ATTAAGAGGAAGACATCATTTTGCTGGAGCACCAGAACTGGTTTACCCCGGAACACCTCGGCTCTAATGCCTTCACAGAAGAGCAGCTTGTCAAATTGAGGGACGTTACAGTGAAGTTCCACTCGCGGACTTCCCTGAAAACGCAGTAAAGCCGCTCTAATGGCTGCTCTGTTGCTGCTGGAAGTCCTTTGCATTTGTAATCGGCCTACACGAACCCTGCATTAACACCGGAGGAACCTGTGGAGAGCCTGGAACACACCGCGAGCATGACGGAAAATACGTTTTCTTGATAAGATAATCTGAGCCGGTTTATTTCCCTGAAGTGAGCTCCTTCACCTCCAAACTACACAAAAACAGTCCTAATGTTGTCTCGTCATGGCGTTCTTATGCTTATATTTGCTCAGCTTTAAAAATATTTGTCTTCATCGTGAGGCTTTTGTTGGAACTATTTTCTAGCAAAGACATCTTAAACTTGGACAAACTAACAAAAAGCTCCTCCAGACCTGGTGGAACGTGAGTTTGTAATTTGGGTGAAGCGACGGTTTAAAGTCTGGTCTGGTGGTTAAACCGAACCAAAAAACTCTCCCATACGGCGCTTCTATCGACATAAACCCAGCAGAAATGTCTCCCAGCACGATCCTGAACCTCCCGGTTGTTTACTCACTATAGGGGTGCGATCACACCGAGATTGTTTATTATTTCATGTCATAGCCAGCAGGGATACTGTTAGTGTGAGTCGGCAGTTCAGCTCAGATTCGCCCGTGCAGACACTCGACACCGTTCACATTTGAAATACTGATAAATAGCTGCGGTCTGATTAGCGGGTCGCGCCGGGTCACGCAGGAGATGTGGAGTGTCGTCCATTATGTTGAGCAGTTTGTGCAGCTTCCGCCTCTCAGTAACCAACTCCAGGGGCTCCGGAGCAGCACAGAGCCAGACTGTTTTTTTTTTTTTATTATCAGTTTATTCGGTTTCTCAGTGTCACTGGCTCGGATGCTGCTGCCCCGACAGATGGCCGCAAAGAAAATTGCACTTGCGACAACAGACTGATAAAAGATCTGCAACATCTTGCTGCACACATTAAACCAATCTGCCAAAAACGGAGCCCAGTCCATCTGACTTCAACAAAAGCCTGGTGCTGCATTTCAAAATTGGGAAGAAAAAAAAAACCGGTGAGAGCACTTTTAACTCAAGTTTATGTTATCCAGATAAGTTCCTACTTTTACTGACATGTTCACGGGGAAAATGGAGAACATCCAGCGCACACATCTGCTGATGTAGAAGAACAGAATTATCCACACAGACAAGCAGAGAACAACGGGCCCTTTGTGATGGACAAAACCACTCACGGAGATTCGTTTTTTAACTCCTAATGTCTTGCATTTCTCACACCTCCATCAGCTGTATATATAAAATCGTGCAGGTCCTCCAGCTCTGATCCATCGAGGCCTGGACTTAAGGTGTCCTGTGGAATCAGCTACCAAGACATTAGCAGCAGATCCTTTAAGATTTAGGAGTTTAGAGGCCAAATCCTGTTTCTCAAACCATTCCTGAGCAGTGTGCCAAAGCCCATCATGCTGCTAAAATAATCTACTTGAATGTAGTGAACAGGTGATCTGCAGACATGTTTAGGTGGGTGCTATGCGCTAACATCCACGTGAATGCCAGGACCCAAGGTTTCCCGGCGGTACATTTTCCAGAGCATCACGCTGCCTCGTCTTCCTCCCATAGTGCAACCTGCTGCCGCCTCCTACCCAAATAAACGACACACACTCGCCCAGCAGTCCATATGATGCAAAGGAAAACATGATTCATCAGACCAAGCCCAATTGTTCCGTTGCTCCGCGGTCCAACTCTGACGCCCGTGTGCACATTGTGGGCACCTTTAGCGGGGGGACAGGTGTACGCAAGCTGTGCTGCACCGTGTGTTTTGTCACCTTTCTGTCAGAGCCAGCGATTAGGTTTTCACCAGTTTGCGCTGCAGTCGCTCTTCTGTGAGATCAGAGCACACGGGCCAGACTTCGCTGAGTCTGAGGCACCCATGACCCTGTTGCTTGTTCACCGGTTGTCTGTCCATGGACCACTTTGGGTTGTTACTGGCCACTCCATACCACGAACGCCACACAAAACCTTGCTCTGACCCAGTCGACTAGCCATCACAGTACGACTCTTGTAAGATTAACTTACATCTTTATGCTGACCCATTTTCCAACCTTTCAACTTCAAGAACTGACTGTTAACTTGCTCTTGTAAAGAGATAATCAATGTTATTCGTTTCTATCAGTGGTGTTAATGTTGTGGTTCTGACCAGTTTATATAACAACCAAACGCACAGGTTTAACTTACAATAACTTCAATAAATTCATTGATATGAACATTTATGCTGTAATGTTTACAGGGCAGTAATACACTTTGTACTGTTCTGGAGGCTAAAGGAGCATTACGTGCAAAGTTAAAATATAAAACACCTGGACACCTCCACCAAGGCAGCGCAGTGCTATACATGTAGCATTCCAGCTATGTGCTAATTAATGAGATTTCCTAATTACTGCCTTGTAACTTTCCCATTAGCCCCAGTTTAAACAGACAAAGTTCTAAACCCAACTAAATATTTATTCATCATTCAGTAATTATCGGATTTATTATTACAGTTGATTTGCTCAGTTTTTTTTTGCGTGCTGAGCTGACCCGCTGTGCGCCGAATAAAACAGTCTAGGCTACACCTGCTTAGCAATTAACTGCAATTATGTTATTCCAAGTGTAACAATTAAACGCTGTTTCTGTTTGAGTTGACATTCGAAGCGAATTTCATGCTGCTTTCTGGGACAATTACTATTAGACCATCGGGGAGTTTATCAACAGGCTTTATTCACGTTTCAGAACCAGAAAAAACATTATTACCTTTATAGCTTCTTTTTGTGGATGCATGAAGGAATATAAGCTCATCATGTTGGGAAATCTGTTTCTTTGCCCTCCTTCTTGAAGCAACAATGGGACTGGCTCCTCTTTTATAAAGCAGCTACTCCTGGATTCTCACTCTTACAGGCTCCTGTAATGGCTTTGACCTGATCTTTATCATAAGAAATCCCCAAAACGCATGAACTAATCTCACCTAAAGCTTTTAGGAGAAACCATTTTTTGAATACATCTCATAAGGCACAAACTTCCCTTTTTTATTTTGCAGCTTATTCAGGCATGTTTGGAGTCTCTCATGCTGCTGTGCCAAGCGGTAATGGGCTCATCGCTGCCCCCTGTGTATTAAAACAATGAGTACATTGGCACTTACTGGAGACTGCAGTTGCAATGTAATCACTTCTTGGATTTGTCTGTGCTAAACTCACAAATTACACTCGGTCTATCTTTTTATGCGACTACCAGGGAGAGAGAAGCCGTGCATTTCCCAAAATCACTGGAGTGTTTCTAAAATACAAAAAACTAAACAATTCTGGATCTACGACAAAAACAACAGAAAAATCACTTGTTTCTTGGCCGATACCAGAACTTTCTACCAATCTGTTGTTTTGGGGATGTCTGGACAAGTGGAACTCAGAACTAGAAAATACAATCCAACGTCACTCAGACATTAACTATAATCTCAAAGTTGACCAAAGTGTTGGATCGACTGCTGACGCAACCTAAACGGTGCGTAACCATCTCAGAAAGGCTGCACGTTAACACTCTGAACCAATACAGAGTCCTGCACCTCTATGGAAACAGTAAAACCACGAATAGAAGAAGTCAGAACTCAATAAGTTCTAATCCCATAAAACCTAAAAAACAAAAGGCAATTGTGCCTACAGATGTCACCAATACTAGAAAACAAAAGGTGTCTCGACATCAGGGGTGTCCAATCCTGGTCCTCGAGGGCCACAGTCCTGCATGTTTTAGATGTTCCCCTCATCCAACACACCTGATTCAAATGATCAGCTCATCATCAAGCTCTGCAGAAGCCTGATAACGATCCTGATCATTTGAATCAGAGGGAAACATCTAAAACATGCAGGACTGTGGCCCTCGAGGACCAGGACTGGACACCCCTGCTCTACATGCTATAGCCGTTTCTCCACTTACATTTTTACCTCCTCTTTCTTCACGTCACTCTGCACGTCAATTCTAGAAGGATGTTTCAAGGATCCATTAACACCTGAGTTTCGGTTTCAATCGGGGGTTTGTTGCTCCTCCCCCTCGTTATGTGAGTCGTTAGTGCTCCCCCTGCCACAGTGGGGTTCATTAGGGTCTGTTGTGGCTCGATGTGGTTTCATCTTCCTGGGGAGAGATCTTAGGACTGAATTGTAAACAGGTGAGAGGTGACGCCTCAGACCTCCACCTCCTGTTGAGGGATGGTCTTTGCAGATAGATGGCTTCTTTCACTCGTCTCTCAAACCATCTGTCCTCCGTCTTTTAAACACGTCCAGCAGTTCAGCCAAATATTCTCTGTTCATTCATTTGGGGTTCAGTTTTAAACAGAATCTGGTACAAATTGTTCATTTCTGACATTTTTTTTAAACAACACATGCAAAATAAAGTGATTTAGACGGAATTTAAACTTAGATTTGGGTAATTTTCCCAAAGGAACCACACATTGAATGAAAACCCGATGATTCTTTGCCGTTTTTATCATTTCTGGCTCTGATAAATGGGGCAATCTTGGCAACTTTTCAAAGATAACACATCGTTTGAGCCCGCTGGGAGGGCTTTGGGGTTCAAGGGTAAATATTCCTTAATTGCACTCCAAAGACATTCTGCCTACACTCCGCTAAATGTGAAGGTTACTCACCAGGCGATACCTACCTTGACATCACTAGCGGTGCAGCAGCCATCGCAGCCGAGTTACCTTCTAGTCTGCAAAAGAAGTGGAAGGCTCACAAACCCCAGCAGGTCAGCTGTGTGCTGAACTGAATTACAGCCCATCGTGCCGTGTTTGTGTTCGTCCGTTGTGCAACACCAGATTGTGATTCTACACGGATCACTCTGACACATCCACCAGTGAGACGCTTAAATCATGTTTTCATTTTATTCTTAGTATAAGAGACATACAATGGTATTCTGTGAGACCAAATTCATAGTAAGTCAAGAGGCCTGGAAATCAAAACAGAGAAAAACATAATACTGAATCAATGAGACCCCGCCCAGATAGAATGTATTTACACCAAATCAAATACTGATAGAGCTTCTCGAGGCGAGACCGACCCCTCTTCCATACAATCTGTGACCGGCAGATTAAAAAAAGAAAAGAGAGAGAGCGAGAGAGAGAAACACTTCCACTCAAACACTGTAGCTGCCACAATTCCTCTTACGAAACATTTCCGCCCCAACATTAAATCAAGTTGGATGTTTTATATTTGCTGTTTGAAAGGCTATTTAATGCTCTGCTGCCTGTTAATACCCAAATCAACTGTTTTTTTTTTTCTTTTTGTTCTTTTCTCCTTACAACAAACGTGTTCGGTCATATTTTCCTTCATTTACTGGAGCTGATGTCGTATGAATGGTAAACTTTACACTGGGTCAAATGAGCTCTGGGAAATTTCAATCAATAAACACCACTTTCAGATACAGTAAATAGCGTAGTGCTGCTTTCACCCGATTGATCACGGTTCCAGTCAACCGTGGCCAAAGTGAATCCCCCTGAAAAGTGCAACAGTGGCGGGTTTGGTTGGGGGGGCGGTGGCGATGTTTCCGAGGCGGGAGATCTCGGCACCGCGGCCACCTGTGAACCGGTTTCATGATCGCTTCCCAGCTATCAATCCAAGAGACAATCTCAGCCTGTCGGATCACAGTTCATTGCACTTATCTGCGTTTCTTCTTTTGAAGCCTGGCGACAGCCGGTGGGTCGAACTCTTACAGCGGTAACCATCGTAGAAGTCCAGCTCTATGCGGCCACCTGTTTTCTCATATTTATACAAAACAGAAATAGTAGAGAAGAACTAAGAAAATATTTCCTGCCATTTATCTCTCATTTAGTGCGACTTCTAGAATGGCTACGGGTCTGTAGGTCAAGAGGAACTGTGATCTGCTCTGTTAGAAACCCAAGAACATGAAAATGCTACAAGAAAAACAAACCAGAAAGCAAAACCATGGCACCTACAGGAAAAGTGACACCCAGTGGAAAGTGACATAATACAGAGACAGTCGAACCTGAATGTCTGCAGTCTCAGGCTGTGTACTTGCTTCGTCCCGCCCAAAAAAACCCTGCAGGCTCACACTTTTGGGATGAAAAGAAAAGAACGAAGGGTTTCATTCCAAAACACTGTATTGATCTTGCGGGAAAAAAAAAATTATATATCTGCTGTTTTTGTTTTTTAAATTTTTAAACATAAAAGTAGATATTTCTTTTTAAAATATTACTTTATAAAAAAAAAAAATCATATGCTCAATATATATCATGATATGAGATTCATTAGTGAGTGTTACAATCATACTCCCGGTTTGTCAGGTGACGAATATCTCATTTTGGAATGAAACCTTTCAGATATACAATAGATACTGTATGACACATACTGACGACCATAGAAAATTAAACACCTACGATATACTGTAGCATAGATGCCATCCGAGCCCCTTGCATTGACCCCGACCCCCCATGTCACACACTATTATTAAATAAGGCACACATTTACACATACAGTTAAAATTTGGCTAGTAATTATTCCTTTATTTACAACCAATAGCCACAAAGTTAATAATTAGAATAACTGCAGTCCGTTCTATGTTTTTTTTTTATGTTCGTTCTCTTAACTCCAGATGGCATGGCATGTTTGTCTCCTCCTCTCTGGGTCCGAAACATTTCAGAGCATACAATATTGTTTATTTCCATTTCGGAGGATGTTAGACCCACTGGATTTGTGGAGCACCAATCGTATGGAAACATTCTTGAGGAACTGAAACGGACCCGAATTTGTCACGTCTGACTTGACATCGGCTGAGACAGGGAGAGGGGAAAAAAACAAAACAAAAACAAAAAACAAACAAAAAAAAAAAGAACGAGAAAAGGCGAGTATAGCTGCTTTGTTGAAGTATTTCCTTTGTCTTGTCAACACAACGAATTTGGTTCAGCGTCTTTAGCCAACTGACACACTGTGTTGATGAAGTGCATGATTTGGTGTCCCTAATACATCTGTTAGGGGATGGGGGGGGATCGTTTGATATGCCCAAAGATGAAAGAGTATAGTAAGGCAAAGACATAACTACTTTCAGGGGAATTTGCTGACTTTTCACCACAGGTTACACATACTGCATATGTATATGTATACATATACGGTGTGGATATAAACACACATATATATACACACACATGCATAATATAAACACATTCGAGGGTGGGGCGGGTGGGGACTGGATACCAACACTACATCAGAAAAGGTTAAGCAAAAGCATGAATCTAAGCATCGCACGAGCCTCCTCTTCGAGATGACTGATGTGTTAAGTTTTTCCAACATCGACATGTCCAAAAACTGAGTTGCATTGTAAATCCACATTGAGGACATTGGCAGCCTAATATAAGGAGGTGGCGTCACGTCACCCGAGTAAGCGGTTCTATTATAAGCAAGTAGCTGAGCAATACCAATATGGTACAAAGATATTCGTTGGACAAAAAGAAGCGGAAAAAACACGTTTGGTTGAGGCTTTTGTCCACAGTGACACTGGCTGCCACCCCCCTGGTTGTGTTTTCTGGTGAAGGTCTGCAACCTCAAACCCACAGCACTTCTTCAAGGGAAGTTCCTTAAAGACAACACAATGAGGGAGACTCCCTCTCTAGTCCAGGAGTTTACCCCCTCAGTAGTTGAACTTTCCCTGTTCGTTGACTGGGGACGTGGCAGGTATGAACAGGGGCTTGGGAGGGACATCGGGTTTAAGAGAGGAGGCCCGGCGAACGATGGCACCCCTGTGTGGGACCTCCTGCTGCTCTCCGTTATAGCTGTGCTGCCGTGCCAGGTAGCCATTGGGGATGAGGGGATAGTGAACCTCACAGGCGCTGCCCGTCGAGTTCATCCTTGCCAAAAGGGGAGGCTGCTGGTGGGGCCCGCCGTTTCGTTGGCTGAAGCTGTGCTGGCGAGGGATCATTCCTCCCCCGCCTCCTCCAACTCCGCCTCCGTTGGGCATTTTGGCGGCTGCAGCAATCAGTGAGTGCCTCTGGGAGGAGTGCCTCCTCTCCAGTGTGGACTGGTGGTGCGAGGGGATGTCTGGTGGGACATCCATGCGTCGCGTGAGGCTGTCCCGGGGCAAAGTAGACGAGCTGTAGTAGGGGGCTGATTCTGTCTCAGGAATCTGAGGTTGGATGCGGTTGGCAAAGGCTAGCTGACCTCCACCTCCGCTGGCCATCAGACCCGACGGGCTCATTAGCTGGGAGTTCTTGCTGCTGCTTGCCTCGTGGATGTGCTTTAGAAGCTCATCCAGTGAGGTTACCTCCATCACCTTCTGGGAGTAACCAGGGTAAGGCTGCTGAGACAACACACGTTCAACGTTGTGGATTTTACGCTCATCTGGATGGAGGTGACCGACTACTGGCTGCCCATTGGACAGACCATGGGAGTAGGGGAAGACCTGCTGGTGAAGCAGGGCTGAACTGGGCCTGGAGCCAATGTTATGGGACTTTGGTTCCTTGGCATTGTTGCAGTTCTGGTTCTTTTCCCATTGGTTCTTGAAAGCTTTCATGCTCTTTATGGGTAGTTCTGGAGTTGAGTCTGGTGTCGGCAGACCAGACAGCTCTGAGGAGTGGTGGAGATGGTGATGGTGGGGATGGACCAGGTCTCCCATCGTCATTCCGTGGTGGCCATTTCTCCTTGGTGGGTGATGCTCCTTGCTGTTGGCAAAGAAAGAGTTGTAGATCTTTGGAGATGACACCTCCAGCTTGTCGTCCTTACTTTGGCTGTCCAGGAGGCCGTTGAGCTTTGCCAAACTGCGGAGCGACAGGGCGTGTGGGATCGGAGCTTCGGGGTCTTTCGACAGCTTCTTGGTCTTGTGGCCCGTGTGGTTACAGTAACACGAGACCAAGAAGCCAGAGAGGAAGGCGCCGAGGACAAAGGCCACCAAAACACAAGCGATCAGAAGAGTGTAGTGCACACTGTGGTTGGTCTTCTCCAGCTCCGGAGGTCGCCTCACACCTTAAAAAAAAAAAACAGAAAAAGATTGAGAAAAGGGTGCTTCAGTTAGAGCTTTTCTGACTGAGCCAGGTGAAAAAAAGGCACATTTTCAAGAGCTAATGTAGGTCAAGCAGCAGCTGGGACAGACAGGTTGTGTTTACAGGGCCTTCACTATGTGGGAACCAGCATGGGAGAGGTGTTTGAACTAAGTTCTTGGCTTCCTTTCCTTCTACCGTTAATAGATCAATACAGCCTTTCTTTCTAGGACCTGTGCTTTCCCCTCAGACCGGCAGAGGCCAAGAGCTCCCCAGTCAGTGAGAAATCAACTCTGAAATGAGTTAGAGCTTTAAATATTGATGAGAGCACAGCAGCAGGAACCTGATGTCATTTTCACAGACTCTGCCTTCCAATGCGAAGATCAGGGACGAGAGCACCTGGTATGATGAACGAGCCAAAAATAACAGGTCTATCCAATAGCTCAGTGAGTGCGGCGCCTTTGCCAACACAGACTCAAATGAGGTTGTCAGATTCTTTCAAAATGAAGCCGAGGGGACAGTCTGTGCAACAGTGCACTAAAAACACAAGGTTACCCAGCCGAGGTAAATCTGCCATGCAAACGTCCTTAGGTGTTGTGACCTTAGCTGTGTGTTTGCTTAATGGCGTGAAAGGCAGCGATGATAAGAGGAGTGAAACCTGCCACCTCCCGTAATCAGAGCTCATTTGCAAGAGGCTTCTGCCATCTGTGGTGTCAGACCCTTCTCTCCGCCCTTAATGACAGTTTCTGTGAAACTGATTAGTCTGTGGATAGGGACGCCGGAGCTGCATTGAGGAGGGGGGAAAAAGTGCAGGTGCTCCAAACAAGCTAAATTCACCGGCTAATGAAAGCTCAGTTAGGGAATGAAAATGGAAAACAATGATAACCAAATCAGGCTCTGTGATAGGTTATAAGATATTCTGAATGATTATGATGAGGATAATGATTGTGGATATGGGAGATAAGCTGAATAAACAGGCCTGCATTAGAAGTGATTTTAATATTTCATTTAAATGAAGTCATCCAGACTCTTTGCTCTTGGCTAGTTAATCATAAAGATCAATGCACGTTACCGACGTTTGAAGACACGTACAGTAACATTATCTTTCTGTGCCAGCTGTGTCTCAGACTAAACCCAAAATCCTTCAAAACTTACAGAGAATTTTGTGTTTTGACACTAACATTTCAAAAAAGACTTCTTCTTAGTGGGATGGAAAGTAGGAAGACATGAAGTTGGCACGGCCTGGGTGAACGTTATTAAAGGTAATGAGTGCGTGTTAAAGCAGCCAGAAAGCGTCTTCCTAACGGCGTGTGTGTGTGTGTGATTATAGGGGAATATTATGGGATTTACAGAGAGAATATCTGATCAGAGACGCGCTAAGTTTCAGTCAAATCTCCACAAATCCACAAAAAGACAAAAGCACGATGAGTGAAATGTAAACTCATTGTCTTAAGCCTCAGCTGACAGCGTGGTAACGACACAACACGCGATATGGAAAGACAAGTAATTTGCCTCCTGCCATTATTACAGCTTTAATTTGACAGAATCTTATTACGAGTGATGTATGATGAGGTAGCGTTTTAATCAAACAAGGTTTATCGCTCCTCGTGATGGATCTGTATGTACACAGCTTCTGGCCTGTAGTTTTTCTGAAGACTTTATTATTTAGGTCATGAAGTTAGCGGGAAACTTGCTCGCTTCTTCTTTTTTTTTTTTGCTCTTCATTATCTGGAGGCAGACTTTTGAGCAGGTGTGCTCGTAGAGGCTTATTATCTCATCGCCATGTATCACTACACTTATTCTGAGCCGTGCCTTGCTGCCATTTTCCCCAACTGAGAGATACTGTGGTACGCCGTAATCTTTCTGGAAATAATGCTTTGAATAGAGCTCCCAATTAACAATCCCCAATTTTTGGCCATTTATTCTTATGATTGCCTCGACTTATGACCACATTAAAAAGTCATAAATCATAATTGTAATCCCAGTGGGAGAGGCAATCAAAAGTGATGCTGCAGCGAGCCTGTTAATACCGCTTCTTTTAATCTTGGACAATTTTTTTTTCTGTATTTTTGGTCTCATTACACGAGCCACCAATCAGCTCTGCAGTATCGCTGTAGTTCCAAGTTTTTTTGGATCTAACAGATCAGCGTCCCGGCGGCGGCGGCGGCGGCTCGCAGCTTTTGTAATGAGCGGTGAAAGTCTGCTCTCATCTCGGCGTGCATTCTGCCTCTTGTCACCCCTGTGGCTCCCTGGTACCTGTGAGTCATCTGCTCCCTCAGGACCGCGACAGCCCTCCACCACCACCACCACCTCCCCGGTTGTGGCTACAGGCCTATTGAGGTGCTCCTCCTGTTTGAGGGGGGATGAGTCAAGTGCCACAGCAGGGGGTGAAACGCGCAGCTGAGGTAAACAAATCCAGAGCCTATGAACGACCTGTCACAACATGTTTCATGAGCAGCCGGGATGACTCAATCACTGGGTATGTGGGACATATGGTGCCACAGGTCAGAGTGAAATTAATACCCTGTGAATCATAGCAACAGGCTGGCAGGCAGCTAGGTGGCGCACAGGAGGCGCTGGCCAACTGTACCTACTGACTTGGCTTTCTTTTCAGCTTTTGGACACTAGGAGCTGGTATTTGCACCCACATGAATATTTAAAAAAACTCAAAAGTCTGCTTATTGGGGAAAACTGTCACCTCAAGTGGAGGCGATAATTAATGCTCATTTCAAAAGTCCCCATCAGTGTTTACATAGCTTCAGAGTCTCTAACATTGTCACATTATATTTCTGTGTCAACTCAACATGGTCTTGGCTCAGCGAAGGCTTAATATAGCGATACTCAAGTCTGCCAAAAGGTAAAAAGACAGATGGGCTGCGTGAGTGGAGGCAAGGGAGGGAAAGGGGAGAGAGGGATGTTGACAGCCAAGGGAGAGGAAAAAAAAAAAGGGAGATGAAGGGATGAAATTCAACCTTGGTTGAAGAGGGGAGTGAATGTGAGAGGACTCAAAGATGCAAGAAACAGGGGAGCAAGAGCAAAGGGAAGGAGTGGAGATGAAAGTAAAGAGAGAGAGAGAAAAAAAAAAACGTGAGAGTGAGAGCAGAAGTGTGAGAGTAGCAGATTTAAAGGAGGAGGAGGAGGAGGAGAAGGAGGAGGACGAGGAGGGAGGCAGAGTGAGAGACAGACAGACTTGATGGGGTGAGTGACAGACCGTCACTCTGCTGGGTTTTGAAGCCTGGTGCTCTGCGGCAGCTGTGATATAGTCGGAGAACAACCCTCGCGCTCCTCCACAGTGCCGTAGGAAGAGAAGCACTTTGTGATTGCATTCAAATTGTTAAAAATAGACAGCGCGGTAGGTTATGTAAACAGGCAGGTTCTACACAGCGATGCCTGTGCCACGTCTTACTAATTGGCGGTGGGTTTTTTTTTTTTGCATAAGGGAAACAAAGTAGGGAGGTCTCACTGTTGTTATGTGTGTTTTAAGTGTTTTTTTTTCTCTCTCCTGCAGGTGATGAAGTCGAGTCTGAAAACAAATTACAATGGAAGAGACAACTTCTTTTGAGCATGTGTGATTAAATAAATGGCTGGCGTCTTTGCGAGCTCTCAAATCGACTTCATTAACAATACGGCACACATAAGCTTCTCCACGACACCAATTACCGGTAATCTGAACGCTTTGAAGTTTCACACTCGCGCAATTGTGAAAGAATTCGTTTAGCATCTCTTGAAGGACATTAAAGCATCAGAACTCTACAAAACTGGAATTTAAATATCGCTGGCTACCAACACTTTCAAGGTCAGATACGAAATAATTTAGGAGAACTTGTTCACGTAACTTTTTTTTTCAGGCTTTTTCTCAAGGGTGCGTTTAACTGCTTTTGTAACCTGAGAACAACTTGTGTTCTATTTTTTGCGCATCAAGTGAAGACGCTCCAAAATAGCCCTAATTAGTTTCTGCTTCTGCAAGCTTACAAGTGCATGTAATTGTTCCGTTAATGGCTACTCCATCCCGATGAGAAGCCAACGAGACAAAATGGCCCCAGGCTTCGTAGACGCTTCCCCCCCCACCTCCTCCACTAATGCTGCAGATTTATTTCTTTCACACCAAAAATAACAATTTAACTCTTGAAAGACACCCCGAGGTTGAAGATTGGAACAAATGAATTATTTTCCTCTTTCAAATCCGGGTGAAAAGCAGAGCGGCTCTGCCCCGTTGCTGCGAGCTTCGGTAATATGACAGTTTTATTGCTTGACGTGCGTTCCTGTGCACGCAGACACACTCTGGCGTACGTGGCTGGATGTGTGCGGCGTCTGGCTGTTGACTGAGCGAATTCAATCATGTACACTTGTTATTAGGAATTTGCATAATATTCCACCTCAGTGCTCAGCCAATTGGATGCGGTTTAATATATGCACACGAGCTAAGGTGATATGGTGTAATGTAACAGATCCATTCCAATTGAAAAGAAGTTGTAATGAGCACTGCATTTCATTCCAGGTGTGCTGATGCATACAGAACATATATTTCATTACACTTTTGATTGAATACTGGTAAATTAAGCGTACTGAGGCATCTGGCAATCAGAACCACACTGTCTGTCTGAAGTCCTTCAATATCTGCCTACACCTGTGCCATGAAGAGAAAGACAAGTTTCCAGGAAGCGGTACACACACTTTGCTTCAAACACCCACACAGCAAAAAAAAAAAAGTTTGGTTAAAGACCCAAATTAGCCAAAAAACACATTTTCTCACCTCTCGTACGGCTTTTAAGATGTGTCCCCAAAGTTTCTGCAGTACATTCAAAGGTGAATGGAGTTGTGTTTGTTGCAAAGGGAAAAAAAAACCAACAAAGAACATATGCAAGCTACTGAAAACTCTTTCTGATGACTTTGCTGTGGAATTTGTGGCCACTGCAAACCGAATTTCATTCACCTTGATTGTACTGAGGGCAGAGGTACATATCTCAAAAGCTTAACCTATCTACA